TTCACGGTGTTGTGGCTGGCTGGCTTTAGAACTAGGGTTCAGTCTGGGCAGATTTTTTTTCTGGAAGTTGTAGCTAATAAACGCAACAGAACTGTATTTGCATTGTCTCTTGGAGTTCTTTGGGCTGAATCTGACAGTCCCTTAGGAATGGCGTAAGCTATTAATATTAATAAATAAATAAATTTGTCATTTCATGGTATTTGGTCTCCAGTTGATTGGCCATTCATGAATTTTAAATGTTCTTATGGACAAACATGCCAACCCCACTCATTTCTATTGGTATTTTAATTTGTTGTCAAAAAGGGGCACCAACTGTGAAACATAAGGCATGCTAGTTTCCTTTGCAGGAGGTAGCTTTGAAGTCTCCACTGGGGTAACAACTAGAAATACTATGAAATTTATTTCTATGGTGGGAATCTGTATAACTGTAATAAAAAGAAAGAAAAGAATGTCAGAAAAGATCCTACAGAGAAGATTCAAAAGCTGAGGTAATCCTTTACCAATCTCTAATGGGCTATATGTCAAAGCACAATAGGAACAATTTCATGTCTACAGAACTCTTTAAATTTCCAAAATTTTAGTTAACTTGAACTTTGTTATGTATCAGGTTTTCTTTAGCTCCTGGAAATCTTTTCCTATCCATTAAATTTGGCTTCTGAATTGTGTGTATAACTAGACTCTAGGATTTTAACTAACTAACAAGAAAAAAGAGTAACTTACCTTCACTACACGATCACTTCCACATGTCACCATAAGTCCCCTTGAAATATCCATGGACATATGGCAAATGTTGTGTTTTCCTTCATGAAAAGTTGCCAAAGAAGTGCGACTTGAAGAGAGAAAAAGTGAGTTTAAGTAACAGCAACTTGCCAGATCTTATTCAAATCAGGGGCAAAAGACAGTAATACAAAAACAGTTGTGCAAAATAAGACTTCTGAAAAGCAAATATGTCAGACTCAAGACCAGTATCATCATTTGAATTATATTTAAAGAAGCAGCCAGTTCATTAAAGATCATAATAGATCTGAACTATGCAAAAGTGAAATAAAGGAGTTACAACAACAACAAAAATAAAGTCCCAACATTAAGACATTAACAAATCCACTTGCTAGGGCATTTATATTTGCTGGAGGCTCTCTACCAACATGTTTGCAAACTTGTGCGCGTGCATGTGTGCACGCGTGCACGTGCACACACACACACACACACACAAAGGAAAGAACAGTTTAAAACATCTTTTCAAAAGGTATAATGCAAACAGAGATCTAGTTAACACTGATTTTGCTATTTGGGGAATGGATACTTCTGACCTGCTGTTTTAGGAAATAGCAGCTCAAAACTACATTCAATATTTCAAGGAGAATAGTTAATCCAGCAAATGCTTACCTTTATAAGCAGTGGGGAAGAATTAAAGTGAATATATTCTCCACTTAAATTGGACAGATATTAAAGTTCTAACAAATCAACAATGTTATGTATACACATAGACAGGAAAACATGCAGAAGTCACACTTTTACAAGAAAAAAAATGCTTAGTTAACATGCCTACTTCCTGGCATTGAATTAATTTTAACTGTTTTAATTTAAGGGGACTTTCCCCACTACTGAGTTATTGGTTTATCTACCCATCCCTGAGTTTGTACAAAACAGTACTAGTTCAACAACCCTCATTATTTTCTGAACACTGTGATTAGGAAAAGCATGGGCATTTAAAGGTAAAAATAAAATTCAGAAACCAATAGAAACATATAAGTGGCAAAACACCTTCTTTGGTCATAAGCTATTGTCAAAAAATACTCTGGGAATGTTGACAGGTATGAAGGGATTCAGGAAACAAAATGCTAATGGCAAAGCAAACACTGGAAGAGAAATATCTGCATGAAGGCTACTTAGCTATCAAATGGGAAAAAGGGCCACATTGTCCAACAGACACATAACATACTTCTAATCATATTCTTAATAGGTCAGTTGACCTTACCTCCAAGATAAGGTGTGACAAAGCATTACAGATTTTATATGATCTGAAGCTATGGAAGAACAGTATTGACTTAAGGGGGAAATGCTATTTTAAAACCAGGACACTTAATGACAACTTAAGGCTATTTACTTAAGGGCTGAGGATGAGACGAAAGCAACATCATGGCACCAAGAAAGATTTGTGTTATCATAGCTAATTGTGTGTCATAAATTGCAAACAGGAACACAGCCTAAGAATTTTTTTTTAAAAAAATAGAGAAATGGGAACTAATATTGCTCAATCAGGAATTCACACTGGTGCTTAGGAAATATCACAGGTTCAACAGCTACACAGACCAAAAGAAGGTTGGCTGCTAGGGAAATGGAATGCAATGGTGAAACTGAAACATTAAACATGGAAAACAGAAGAAACAGAGCAAGACTATTTTATAAATTGCCTGTCCCACAATTGATAATGGTGTAAGAGAAGAAAGATAACACAAAGGACTTTGCTTCTATGCTGATTGACTGATTGTATGCCATCAAGTCAGGGTTGACTCTTAGCAACCACCTACATTTTCTTCAAGACAATCACTTCTATCTAGTTTGTGAATTTTTTTTTTTTTTAATTGCTACGTAAAGGCTACCTTCTAGCATATGGCTATCTAGCCAAAGCTGCTATGAGCAAAGCTGTTACTAGGGGCCCTGGAGCCTTCAACAGGTTAAAGCAGATTTAAGAACATAATTTTTTCAGAGAGAAGAACTCTCTGAAATTTAGATATCAAGATAACTAAAACAGATTAAAAAAAGAAAAGAAAAAAGCTGGGATTTTGGCTCCAGAAATAGGGGATGAGTACCAGAGTAAAATATAACTAACGCTAAGTAGAGAACAAGAAGGCAATAGTAAACCATTTCTGAAAATGTTGCTACAAAAACTACATGGACTTGCCCAGGCAGTTGCCAGGAGTCAAGACTGACTTGAAGGCACCCACAGGAAAAGCAAAGCAAAGCAAAGCTAGGTAAAATCATAAGGCAGATAATTAAGCCTAGGTCAAACTCTAGTGGGCTGAAAGTTAACAGGCAGGAAACAAGACAGCTAGAATAGCTGTCACATAGCAACTAGCCATGAAAGAATGGCAAGTCATATTTAGAATGTAAACTAGGGGTAGATTTCATGAGAAATCATTCAAAGGGCTCAAGGATTCTGGATTACACCTAGGATGAGTCAAGGCAAAGTAAACAACATGTACATCTTGACTGATGAAAAGAAACTTCAAGCTTCTTGACTGCTCATCCATTTACTTAACAAAAGATAATCTGGGAGCTAAAATTTATAGTGAGTATTCCTGCAATTTCAATGATGCCATGAACTTTTATCATTTCTCTTTCTGTTCTGTCTACCCCCAATTTCTTTATGCTATTCTCTTTTCCTCTTACATCGGAGGGCTGCCAGAGAAGGGGCAGAAGCCTGCAAGAGGTTTTAACAGTTCATTTGTAAACAGCTTGTGAAAATTATCTTCCTCCTGATATAGAAGGATGCTTATTTTAGCTACCTTATCAATACAAATATGTCAAAGCATGAAAAGATTAAAAGCAAGACTGAAACAATGGAAGGTGTAATTTTGATTCATACTGGAGACTAAAATGTGCAGTGTGATAAACTACACATTTTAAAACTACTGATAGAACTACAACTAAAAACAAGAATGAGGGGGGCAAGGGCATTCAGTGGAAGGTGATTTTTTTTTCTTTTTTCTTTGAGCTCCTACTGCAGACTAGCTATTTAAATGGTAAAACATCTTTGTAAAAATGGAGGGAACAATATATTTTGGGTTTATGTATGCTTATTCAAGAACAAGCATGAATGAATGGAATGGAATTCAATGGAATTCTAAAAATATGCAAGTATATTATAATCTCAGAATAATATGTTGAAGATTGAACATTTGTAATCAAGAAATTATGCAACATTTTATGATCTGAATTTGACAAATTTCTCATCCTACCCTTTTGCTGAAGAGAAATAACTTTTTAAAATACAGTACATATTTTGTTTCTGACAAGTGCTGTAATAAGTTTGGTACCTTGTCAAATTTTGGATTTGTCACTAGAAACTAAGATCTGATTGGATCAAATCCCTTTTTCTGGAAAAGTGCCACTTCTTCATTTTTTTACAAGAGCTGAATTGATTAATACTTTCTGGAAGCAGTTCAAGCTGCTGATTGTCACTTATAAGCTCTTACATGGTTTGGGATTTAGATAACTTCAAGACCACCTACTCACAGTGGTTTCTGCCTGTTCAGTAAGTTCTGGGAGAATGGATCCATACCCTAAAAGAGTTTCATCTGCAGGGACCTTGGGAACAAGCCTTCTCGATTACATCCTCCATTCTTTGGAAAAGCACCCCACCCCATCCCCCGTTTAGAACTGGTTCTCTCCCTATTAAATGTCTAAAAAGCAATTAAAACCTGATTATTTCAAAGAGCCTTGGATGAGAAATCATTGTGAATGGAGATGACTCTTGCTATGGTATGTTTGGTGTATGATTATTTCTCCAGGACTATGTTTACTGTTATTGCCTTTTTGCCCTTGTTTAATGTTTTGATGCATTTTTTAACTCCTCTTGCTGGAGAAGGTTTTGAAAGCAGCTTTCAAAGCCCTCTCCAGCAACCCATTTTGTTGACTGGAATGGCATACAAATGTATGTATGTATGTATGTATGTATGTATGTATGTATGTATGTATGTATGTTTGTGGATAGAAATTAAGTAAACTTTATGGGCAAAATGCATTTATTGTAATGTATTATAATAGTGTTAGATATATTACTGGAAATGAACTAGCAGATAGTAAAAAATAACTCTTTGAAACCAATCTTTACAACTTTGTTTCCTACATACACTAACATTAAAGAAAGCATATCAAAAAAACCTTATGAAAGGAAGGTTATCTGTAGTTCTTATATGACTTATGTACTAACAATTTTGGCCTCAAATCTCTGATTTAAAACTAGAGGGCAGTAAGTCATAGTCTTCTAAGCTAAAGGTACTCACTCTTCATCTTTGATAGACTCAAAACAAGAGTCACAAACCCGGACCTGGAATTCAAAGCCCATTATGGGATAGCTGGAGCGTTTCGTGCTGCATTTGCCACATACTGCTTGACCACATTTCCTACAGTGATGCTGGATAATGGAAATGAAAATGAGAAACAATCAGAAAACCTGATCTGTTCCAGATTAAGCCAAATATTAGGAAGGAAGCCATCACATTCTCATGCTTTCAGTTAACTGAGTTCAACTGTCCATTCTGTGAACTTTCATCAGAGAAGACTACTTTCTCTGTAGGCCTATCCCCATTAATCTCCTAAAGACAATAGCCTAAATATGTCCCAGATAAAAATCTCAGTCAATAAGCAAAATCATAAGGAAGATTATAGTTTTTTATATATCCTGGTCTAGACCATTTAGGACAAATCTAATACAGAACAGTAATTTGTGCTCAGATACATAAACAAAGACTTCTCAAGGCAACTCTACCTAAGAGCTCTAACTCTTGAGCGCCCTCAAGATACCTTAGGACTGCAATTCTCAGTGCTTTCACCAGCATGATTAAGCCCTACTTGCTGGGAATTCTGAAAGGTATAGTTCCAACACATGTAATGAGTTCCAGATTGGGGAAAGGTTGACTTAAAAACCAGAAGAACTATGCTGCCTGCTGTAGGGCCATGGAAGATGAGAAGGATGTGTGCATGGGAATCAGGAACTAATTCAAAAAGATACATCCTAATTACTAACTTCTTTAACTTTCATACAGTTATACACAAAACACTGCTGGCTTCTCACCTGCCTCAGACCCAGTGTCTTTGTATCCCACATCTGCTTTATATTCCAGAAGAAGGGCTGCTCACATTTCTGACAGGAATCACTTTCTAACCACTGAGGGGCCTGGAAAAGAAGAGGTGACAGAAATGTTTAAATATGCCATTATGGAAAAAGAAAAAGGAACTCCCCCAACTTTATAAATGTCAGTGGAATTAAGGAGTCACCTTTTTTTTGTTTGATTTACCCTCCATTAGAGATACAATTAGAAATAGATAAAGCCTACAGTTCACAAATAAAGGCTGTTAGAGCAGTGCCCCTGAAAGCAGAAACACCTTATAAAATTTGCTTCCCCCCAGATATAATGACTAATGTAGTCTCAAATGGTATAGATGAGGTCCCTCAAGCTGTGTCTGTCTCCCAGGTGCCTCCTACACTTAGTTTGTTGTGAGGCAGTTTTCACTACCATCACATTAATGAGAAATATGCTTTTGCTACACCTTGACTATTAGCTTCCTGTAGGGGGTTAAGTGCCTCAGTTTTTCAGTGTTTGGATGATTAAGTACTGCGTAACTAAAAAGCTGAAGTTTTCCACAGTCAAACAGTTATGCCTTCCATTTTCACTCATAAGCTGACATTGAATATGTCCTGTTCTCATTCTGAAGTACCATCAGAGCAATTTAAAGCAATTAACTACTGCCTGGGTCAATCCTTCTGTATAAGTACTGGTTTCTATTCCTGGTCTCACTGCAAACAGAGCTTTTGGAAATCCATGTGGTGACTAGGATTTTATAATTTATTTCCTTATAAGTAGGTTCTTGCAGGATAGCTTAACTAAAATCCATTTTTTTAATAGACATTTTTCATATACATAAAAAGGGCTGGACAACTGAAGTTACAGATGTAGCCAGCAAGCAATTTTGAATGCCTTGTAATCTCACTAACAAATTCTATTCAAAGGCATAAATTTTCACAAGCTCTGGCAAACTTCATCAAATATATAAAGTGCTTCTAATGAAGTGAGTTGTAGCTTATGCCTTTAAATAAAATGTGTTAGTCTGAAATAAGGCTCCTTCTGATTTTTGGTTACCATAAACTAACACAGCTCTCCTCCTACAATGGTGACCTCACTGTAACAGCATCTGGAAGTAAGTTTCTGGCCTTGAAGGCTAACCTTAATAATATGATGGCAATATATTTTTAATATTTTTTTTCTTGTTTAAAAATTTATTTAGTACAGAAAGCCAACGTTGTCATTTCCCAGATACCAAAATTTCTCAAATCGGTTCCTATTAATGGGAAGGTGATAAATAGATAGAGCTGCATGATATTTTATTTTTTACAGCATGCATCCCATGTTTTGACCTACATGCATTTATGCAAAAGATATTCAAGATACTGAGAGATATATACAATGATATACCTCAGTATGATCTCAATGTTATCTTTTAGATCCAGAAACATTTTAAATAAAATAAATTTAAAAGACAAGGAGCTGGCAACTAGGACAAGGTGATTCCAATTCCAAAGGGCAGAATACTTGAGGTCATTTTCCTCACTCCCACTTTACTTTCTAAAACATCATTCCAGTATCCCTTTTCCTGGATAACTGCTAAATTTGGCTAGTTAGCTGTTACAGTTAGGAGATACTAGCTTTTCATCTGCACTTTTGATATCAACAAATAATAACTTTTAATTTAGTTCCTACCTCTTCTCTACTAATATCCATATTCCAGACTGTGATCCCTCCATCTGCTGAACAAGAAACCAGTTGTCGTGTAAGCTGGAGATAACAGAGGGCTTGTACCTTGTCACTGTAAAGAAAAAAATGGACTGATAAAACTATGTAACAATTGTGTTTTGTATGTTTGACTTGGAACCATTCAAAGTTTGTTTGTATTTTTATTGATGCTTGCTAAGAACATTTTCCAATATCAAACTGCATGGCTTTGTTTTTTTTCCTTTTAAAGTATTATTATTAATTTGCATGAAATACCTGAATGTCAGTTTATATTACATAGATTTTGGCTTCACCATGTACCACAGTTTTTCCAAATATACTGCTTCCAAACATATCAGACTATAAATTCCAGGATCCCCAGCCAGAATGGACAATAGTTATGGAAGTTATAGTCTAGCATATTTGGAAGGCACTAGGTTAAAAAAGATTGCTGTCATCTTTCCAGATTTTCTGTCCCATTTGTAAACAGGTACTAAAGGATAGAATAGGTTTTGAGGAATAAATTGTTATAACTCTTCCTGCTAATTCAGCTGCTAAATTATCTTACTGATTCAGGAAAAGCAGAGGTTGGCTCCAATTCTGCAATTTTTGAGAGGGTATTTAGAACTGTTTGTGAGAATGTTGATTTGGAATCTGGAATCTAAGCAATACCACCATGCCACTCCTAGGAAATCCATTTGCAAAATAGCGTCCATTGTACACAACAAGGAAAATAATCTGCCTTGCTCAACAAGAGAGCACCATACTTTTTCCTGCTGCTTAGTGGAGAGGCTGTTTTTATCATGCATGGGGAAAAGTATTTAGTGGTTACATCTCTTAAATGTTTGTAATATACTGTTACCCTTGCAAAAATGAAGTATTTAATAAAAGGTGATAACGTGTTTTGTAAAAGAAGGGTTTTGCATAAAAGGAATTTCCAAGAACTGTCCTTTTGGGGAACATGGGGATGGTCATTAGCATTGCATTCTTTCTTGATGATAGAAGACACTAATGAAGCAAGAGCAATTATTGACACCTGGGGAATGAACAAAGAAAAAAAATGTCTTTGTTATGTATCTTCTACCAGCAAATGCTTTGTTAATTGGCAATTCCACTGCATTCTTCTGGATCGCTGCAATTTATTTGCATGTCTAATGCTTTTCTGTCAGCATGTTATAGACAACACTGTGTCTGTAGTAAGGTGTAAGACATGGTTGGCTAAAACTAGGAAACAAACAGAAAGAACTAAGCATCAGATTTCAAATCTTTACCTCAACTTCATGTTCCTTTGAAGAGTACTGTATCAAAACAGCATATTTCAATATGGTATTTAGAAACAGCACTGCACAAAGTTCTTATTTGATTTGTAGCTGGCAGGAAATAGAACCAAATAAAATCCTTCATTCCTTTGTGAATAACACCAAAGGCTGAACCAGAATTAATACATGCTAGGAAATAAAATTGCTACATACTGATGGCCTTGAAGAAGCAGTGTCCGACCTCTTCTTCCACCAATATCCCACATGATTATGCTGTTATCAGATGCTCCAGAGAAGAGTAATCGCTGAACAGGATCCCACCACAGAGAAGAAATACTTCCTATGTTATATATATGGGGTGGGGGTGGAGAGAGGAGAAGGGTGAAATGTTGACAACCTACATTTTGGTGGATGAACCTATAAAAATAGTAGTCCTATGGCAATCTCTCTTTTAAAGGGATATTTTTTATTGTAGCAAAATGAAACAGCTAAAAAAAAAACACATGATACAGCACTTGCTGAACTGTATCACAAAGTGAAGATTTTTTTCCTCTGATTTAGGCATGAAAGCCGGCTGGGTGACTCTGGGCCAGTCACTCTCTCAGCCCACGACATCAGGCTCAGGTGGCAAGTTGTTCAGTCAATTCCTGTCGCAACCATTGGATTAATATTCGGTTGATCTGGGGGAAAAAAAAAAAAAGTGGACCCTCCACAGGAAAAATGCTAGGAAAAAAAATAACAGCACTTGCTGAGCTGTATAACAAAGTGGAGATTTTTTTTTCTCCTGACAAAAAAAGATTTATGTTGAAGATGTCTTTTGACTTTTGGGCATTTTTTAAATACATTCCTCACAGAAAAGAGATTTCTCAGTCTTCTTTAGTTGGTAAACTGAAGCTGTCTGCAACATCTTTGAACCGCAAATTAAATGTGGTAACAGGAAAGAGCAAGTTTGCTTCTTAGCAAAACAGGACTTTTTGAAAATTTTCTTATGTTAAAAACATGCTACATCTAGAAAGAGAACAGCTGAAACCACCTAAAATACAGGAGGAGGCCTATCAAAGGTACCATAATCTCTCAATCCTTGTTTCAACTGAATCAAGGTAGTGGTGATGGTGGGCCTTCCTAGGCAAGGATCAACACTTACCTTGTCAAAGCTTCGTTCCTTCCCTTATCCTTTTTAATAAACTGGAGAATGTTAGGCAGTGAGAGCCAGTGCTGTGATGGTTAAAGAGCCAAATTAAGATAAAGAAAACTCAGCTTTAAAATCCTCAGTGTTCATTAAATCATGCAGTGCCCTCAGGGAAGTCACTTAAATTTACTATAATCTACCCCACAGAATTGTTGTGGGGATTAACAATTGGAGTTGACCAACATATTCTACCTTATGCTTCATGGGAAAAAAGCAAGACATATACACAATAAATAATACATTATAAACAATCTAGTTTCCTCTAACCCATATAAAAGTACATTCATCTCTAAAAGCATGTTCACCTTTAAAAAACTCAATAGGTACTATGAGCAAATGTGTGAAAATTAAACAAAAATCCTTCTGATTATAATCTAGCTATAAAATATTTTGGCAACCTCAAGGAACTCTGAGAAATTATTTCACTTTATTTTAGATCAGTCTAAATTAATTGGTAGTTAATCAATGATGCTTTTAAATATATTACAAGTGTCCTAGCCTATTTTGAAATTTATCCACAACCATCACCCACTTTACCAAGACGGCTTCAGCTTTTCAATGTACTTTGCTTAGCAGTACCCCAATAGTGACTCTTCCTAGCTAATTCATAGTACCTAGCATTTATTTATTTTAATCCATTCCATCGTGTCTGATTTTTGGACACTGCCTGGACAAGTCCCTGCAGTTTTTTTCACAAGGTTTTTCAGAAGTGGTTTGCCATTGCCTCCTTCCTAGGGCTAAGAGAAATGACTGGCTCAAAGTCACCCAGCTGACTTTGTGCCTAGGCAGCACTAGAGCTCACAGTATCCTGGTTTCTAGCCTAATGCCTTAACCACTACACCAAACTGGCTCTCTTACCTAGTATTTATAGTCTACTACAAAGGTACTTGACAATTTTCTTAGAAGCACAGCTGAACTCACTAGCACTTGTCCTCTTGTTCCTTGATGTTTAAAGCTATGCTACTATTTACTCTGACAGAACTATGTTATCATAGCTGACCTCTTCAGACAGAGATAAATAAATCCTAAACATAATCACATTGGTAATTCAGACAAAGGTCTAGAAGGCACATGATTTGGTTTAACTAGAGCAGGCAGTCTTTTGATGGCTATACACTGCATTTAATAAATTTGCAGAAGCAAGCACTTCAATGAACAGGGCAATGAGAAAAGTAGATGTGGCTGTGTGACATGTGTGGGAAGACTCTGAAACTAGGAGGGGATTTCTTGAGTTGAGAGAGCATTTATATTTCCTAAAAAATAATGTTAAGCCTATATTAGTGCTTACACGTGACTCTCACCTCAAAAAATATAGTCAATAGTACTAGTGACTTTGAAGGCTACATATGACCCTGATTTACACACCCTAGGTTTAATTGAAATGAGGACCTGGCCCCAAACAGAACCTGGATAGAACTGCATGTGGAAGCTATAAAAAAACCACTGTGCACTCCTGAAGCAGGGAATGCAACAATATAGTATGGGATAGTTGTGTCCCAACATCTGGCACCAGAAGCCAGGACATGAATGGCATCTCACTGGTAGTCAGGTCTTCACCTTAGTCAGGTCTTCTGCAACCCCCTTGCACTAAGTGTGGCTCATCCTGAGTAGAACTAACTGCCCTAACAAGGTACATGCTACTGCACATCGCAATAAAAATCTAATAAAGATGATTAGCATTAGATGAATAAAAGAAAGCAATGGAAAGGATGTTAAAGGAGAGATGGGGAAGAAATCCATTTTAAAGATGCCAAAGATTTTCTGACTCCTTTGTAAAACTCTTCCTGTGTTATGGGACGGTCTTGAAAAATAATATTCTCCAGAAATTTAGCAAGTCTCCTTATTTAGAATTTAATGATAAGTAAAAATTGGGTGAATTCAATGCTGACACACTGCTGATTGGCTAACACAGGAAATTAATACATCAGTTATTATGGAAACTGGCCGAGGCTCAACAGTTGAAAGTCTGACACCTAGTGGTTAAATAGTTCAAGCACAAGAAGTATTTAAAATGAAGTGATCATCACACAAGAGGAGGCTGTTTGGGCCATTGGGTCCAACTCACCCATTCAGTGCAGGAATCCAAAGTAGAGCATTCTAGACAGAGGGCTGTCTAGCTTCACTTGAACATATCCCACCACCTCTCTTAACAGATGACTCTGACATCAAAATGCTCTTACTTAAATATGTTTTTTTTCTGACATTCAATCAAAACCTGCCTTCCTGTAACTTAAACCATTATTTTGTATTCTGTACTCTAAAATAATGGAGAATAGTCTTTGCTTTCTTTGAACGTTTAACTTTTTTTTTTAATTAAAAATGTTAGGCTCCAAATTGGTTTACGTTTCTGGTGGAATATTAATATTCCTGCCATAAATTCAGTCGTGTCATTTTCTGAGCAGTTATCTCAGCAGTGATACAGCTCGACATTATTTACTCTGTCACATGACTTCCCAACACCAGCTCGTATAGCACCTATAAGGATCTTTTATGTCATTAAACTTCTTTGATTTTTTTTCTTTATGGATGAACAGACTCATAAAGGCACTGGCCTCTAGTTGCCTGCCATTTTAGAACTCAGGAATAATGGTATAATAAAACATTGGGCAACTGCAGCTTCACAGAAACCTTGTATCCCACTAAAAATGTAGAACATAAAAAAAGAAACGCACTGCAGCCTGGCAAGTGGAAGGTAGAGAGACCCATGTCACAAGACTATGGGGAAAAATAAGTAAATGTTCTGAGGCTGGATTCACATACACAGCAAGGCATGGCTTGATAACCATGATTACTGAATAAACCATAATTGGCTGGATTTGCACAATATACTAAGACAAAACATTAAAAAGAACATTAAGGTTTAAAGTGATGAGCAAATTAAATGTCTTTGTGTATGTATGTTATGAGATAAAGTTTGGGGTGGAGCAGGGAAAGTAAGGTCCATTTGTGTGTTGCAGAACAGAGAGAATACTGGTGGAACAAAATGTTTTATACTGGGCCTAAGTGGGTTAGCCAGCATTAAAAAAAAAAGGGGGGGGAGCTCAGTTAGGTTAGCAAAGAGGAAATGGGACAGTTAACTGAACAAGAATTGATGTGGGCACTGTTTTTGGAAGAGAAAACAATGTTTTTCAATTACTTATGAAGAATCTTTTTCATCTGATGTAAGTAATCAGATGTTCTGGATCAATGCTTGGATATAGTAATGAACATTTTCTATCTGAACAAGATGGAAGTTCACTGCCTCTTGTGTTTTTAGTATGTATTTGCAACTGATGAAGTCACACAGCAGGCTTATGTTGCAGAGTCATGGGGATAATACAAATCTAAACTTGTTTCCACCTATTACATCCAGGGAAGCTAATGAAAGATGTTTTCAGACAATTTTAGGGAAGACAAGTAAAATTTAATTCAGTCATGATGAAAGCAGTGTAGGTGGAGAAGCCAGTCGAAAAATATATTTAACCGGTTCTGGATGGGATTAAGCTGCCTCTGAAAGAATTACTTAGCTGAATCTCTTCTTGAATTTGGTGTCTATGACAACACCAGTACGACAAATGGGTTGGGGTATTCTGTATCAGTTTAGCTGATCTAAACTGGTAATATGATCTCATATGGATTCAGATCTAGTCTCCATCATTTATACCTTTATTACATCCAAACTTGATTACTGTTAACATGGGATTGCTTTTGAAGATTGCTCAAGACACAGTGAAGAATTGGTAAGAACCAACTAGTGGCTTATTCACCTTCAGGTCAAATTCAAAGTTCTGCCATCACAGGTTTTAAAAGAATAGTTGATTTAATTCCCTTGAAATTGCCTGAAATGCTACTAAAAAAATGCTAGTTTGTTTCCTTAAAGTGGTACAAAATGTCTTGAAATGAAGAAAATCAGAAAATGCTTAATAAGGGAGAAAATTCCTACTTGTTGAATTACGTAAAAATAATAATTGTATAAGATACAATCCACATAAAGGCCCAAGCAGATTCAGGATGAATTTTGGAAGATTAATGCCAAAAAATGAATAATGAATAACCTAATTTGGGTACTCTTGAGAGATATGGGAGTAAAGTTCATGTCTCAAGTTCAGAAGGTTATCCAAGGGGTAAAAAGTAATCAAAAGTATTACTCAAGAGATATAAATGTGTTTGAAGTCTTTGTTTTACCAAATACTGGGTAAAAATATTGTAAGATAAACACATTAAAAAGCTAGACACAACGATATCTAGAATAGTTTATATTCTTAACCATGACAACTAAATTTTAAAGAACACTCATTTCAAAGTTGTAATTCAAAATTAATTGCCTATCTTGAAAGACGTGGATAACATCTAATGAGAATTTTTAAATAATCAAGATTAATTTACAGGATAGCTAATTCATTGCTTTGTTTCATGCAAGCATGTAAAACATTTTAATATCAAGATATTTATGCATATTAGGATTTTACTGAAGTTGTTCAATAAAATAGTATACCCATTTTTAGACTTGATTAGATTTTATTGCTCTTTTAAAGTATTTTTAAAAAAACTGATTGAATAACATTAATTAACATATTTAATTAACATTTCAAGCTATATTTCCTCATGGCAGCCCACTGGAAATAACAATTTCAATAGGCTGCTACGAGGAAGCAGTGCAGTTTGAAAGAATTTTATACATCTCCCATGTTTAAGTACTGGAATGATGTTTAACCCATTTGGAGTGAATATTATATCTTGAGGATCAGCTCCTCAGTCTTTGAGATTATAAAGAGAGACAACTGCCTTTATCAGCATCAGCTATGCCAGTTACATATTCCTTAGTTGGAGAAAGCTTGGCCACAATTATCCATCTTTTGATAATTTTCCCCTTAGATATTACAATACACTGTTGTGAACTTGATGCCACAGCTGACCCAACCCAGCACTGGGAAATTTACTGGACATAGGGGTTATCGTTGCCAATTGCTATAAAGCTTGAAATAGCCTCCATTACTCTAACCAAAATTTCAAACAGTGGAAGCTTAATTTGCAAATAATGAACAAAGCTGGCAACAATAATTCAACTGAGAGAACGTAGTAGATACCACAACCCAACACCATGGACCCAGTTGTATCTCTAATGTTTCCTTTTATAAAGAAAGGACGATCTGAGCCTCAATCAGTTGAAAAACAAGTTACCTTCGTGACCCTTGAGAGTTGTGATCACTGAACACGTGCTCTGCTCTAGCTTCAACAGAGTAATCTGTCCAGAGTAGTCTCCAATAAAGGCATGCTGGGTTTCAAAATCATATCTTAGCACAATCCCAAGTCAAGGAGTAAGTTTCAGTCTCAGTAGCTCCAGCAGAAGGCAAAAGACTGAGTATAAAAAGTAGTCTACTTTAATTTGCCCTGAAAGTAGTTTATAACATGCAGTAGGAGCTGTGTCCATCTAGAAGTCCACATAAGAATTAATGAGTGCTACTTTTATTTGATTCCCTACTACTTTTCCATGAAATTAGTACAGCCCAAAACAAAAAGGAGAGAAAAACAAAGAAAAATATATACACATTTATTTTCTTACAATAGCCCTATCTTCATTAAAAACAATTAATTTAAAAAACTTTCTGGGTTCCCCGAACATGCATTACAGAATGACCCATATAAAATGAACCAAAATAAATCCAAATGAAGTTGGTTAGATCATAACATGACTAGACCAAGAATGTATGCATTTAAGTCAGCTTGCTGCCCAGCTTTTTTCTTCAATATTATTCTGTCATTTGGGGAATATTGTTTGCTTGCTTTTCTAGAGCAGACAATACTGTAATTGCCCACACTGCAGCGCATCATGTGTGTTTGCCTTAACCAGCTAATTAGCAACTATGCATTGGAGGCTTTTGACAAACATTCTGAAACAGTAATGTCTTGCTATGAACAATTTCATATGATGTCAAAGGGGAAAAAACCTCTAAATAAGAAACTGCTTGTAAAAACCATACTAGCCTTCTAGTATACTTCAGAAGAAAGGCACTCATTGGAAAAAGTGGATTTATTCAACTACAGTTCAGCTCACAGAACTCCAGCAGCTCATTTGACACCTCAATACTCCCATTAACATATAAAGCAAAGAAAGTGAATATTCTTTTTTTCCAGAACAATCATATAGCCACTGTACTCTGTGACTGGGCCTCTGAGTTTAGAATTTATTTGGATGTTCCTGGTATTTCTCATAGGGCTCTACAAAAACAAAACAAAATTAGGAGGGGGAGTATGAAAAAAAAAATTAGGTAGGATACCAGAGAGAAAAGAGGAAAGAGACAATTATTAAATTGAAATAACTCATTAAAATAACTACTGTCAGTATGCAGCACCCAACAAAAAGGTTCCCAACTTCCTGGTCTAGATGTATTATTCTACCATTTTAAGGAAGGCTCTTCTTTGTCTTCCAAAACAAGTTCTCTTCAGCTCTTTTCTACAACAGCAGCTAGGGCTGAGAGGGACAGGTAAGAAAGGGAGGTAAAAATGACTGGGTAGAATCAGCAACAGCCATTCCCTGCTCTTATCTATTTTTTAAATAAAATGGGTGCGAAATAATAAGAAATTTTCGCTGGTCAATAGAAGCAGCCTTCTACTCAAAATCATTCGATGAAGATATCACCTACCACTATCAAAAGCTTATTTGACACAAGTAGCAGATAGTGTAATAGTCTCAAATTCCAAAATTTGCTTATGGTAACACACCAACTAACAATTTTTATAATAAACTTTAAAAACTTATAACAACAGTTAAAACTGTTAAACATGACCAGTTTCTTGACAGAAAAAATACAATATGATGATATAAATGAAATACAAATGTCAGAAATATTAAAACTGGTGTGTAGTTTAAACAAACTTTAAGAAATTGCACATCTGCTATGATACAGCTACTTTGAAGGATACTGTAGGCAAGATGCCCAGGAAGTGAAATAGTGTCTTCCCAACATATTTCCACTTCTGGTACACATCCAGCTGACGGATTTATCATGGCCAGTGCTAATCACCCATTCTGCTTCCAAGCAAAAAATGATTGCCGACACTCTGTTCTGGTGAGCTGTACAGACAGACAAGAATTATAACACAGAGATAAAAAAATATTGATACATGAATTGGAATGACATCCATTCTTTTACAGGAGCAATTAGTGATAAACACTATTCTTTTTGACCAGAAGACTCTCTACCTCCATTCAATTTAAATCTCATTGTTGCCTTATATGACGGCAGCTAGGGAAGGAGAAACTATGAGGTACATTATTCCCAGAAGCTTTCAATTTTATTTTGAAATGATTTTATTTTTTATTGTTCTCCCACCTGAAGGAACCCAGATATAGTTTACAAAAATAGAAAGAATAAAACAATCTTTAGTAAAAACTATTCTGATTGGAAAAAAAAGTAAAAAATACAACAGTTAAAACAAAATTCAGTTTGTGTGTCAAATGGAAATGAAAAATCACCCTCCGTTAATGAAAAAGAGAAGCATAGATGAGAAACATATGTTCATAACTGTAATTACACCACACTGTGAAATTAAACCAAGAAGAGTAGAGGAAGGGAAGATGAGGAAAAAGAGAGACATTACAAAATTAGCTTGAAATGAGAAAAGCATTGCTTTGCGAAAAGCCATATCTTTTTGTATAAAAGCTGTTCTGTTGTCATTTTAATATAAGGCTTATCTCAAGGCCACATTCTTATCTATGGCGGAATGGCAAATAGGATCCTCTTCTATTGTCTTGGCAGTGCAGTTAAAAGGGTTTCTTACGAATGGAGCAACATAGTGTTCTAATATTTTGGTTTTCTATGTATATACCCACAACAATACCACTAATTCCAGGGGAAACAAAGTAATGTTCTGGAATTCGTTTCCTTTCAACCCCAGCCAAAATGGTGATTTCATGAATTCTGGCTTAAAACATCTGTAGGACATTATGCTGTGCAGGTGATTTGGTAACAAGAAAGAAAGTAGAATATGAGAATTTTTTACAGGCTGATAAAAGTTACAATTGTTGCCTTTATGTTCTAAAGTTATAGATAATTTAATGCTGGTTCATGTACATGCTTAATATCTATTTTACCAAACTGATATTATCTATGTGAATTTTGAAAGTAAGTCAACATTCCATGTCAGTTATTTAAGGCTTCTCATCTGTGCAGGGATACTTCACTGTCTTATTACCTGGATAAGTCTTGACAAAATTCATCTTATTAAAGTCTTCTGAGATATGAAATTCCTGAAATCAAATAAACAAACAGTAAGTTACATGATCTTAAAATCCTGATGATACTGGGGGAAAAAAAAACCTTCACAGCACAAAACAAACAGAATGTGGGAACCACTGACTCCCTACTGAATGATTAACAAAGTCTGTCAACTTGCAATTAAAATTTCAGGGCTTGGACTTCTTTCATTTAGGAAATAGAAATACTATGTGTTTGGCTACTGGGATAGAAAGACTTGTGAGTAGACTTGGTAGAAATTTCTGGGATGCTCTTTGGAAAGAAGGCTACAGTGTATTTCACGGTATCTGAATACTGTGGTTCTGCTCTCTAAATACGCCTGAAAGGCCCTTATATTATAATAGCAACATTTCATTTGTATGTTTTACTTTGAGGCTGAAATCCTCTACACTTTTATAAAGAAAAGTCTCGTTGCAATCAATGATGTTTACATCCAACTAAGAATGCGTAAGATTTTACTATAAACTTGTTTTATGCTGCTTTGAACAACTGGAACAGGAATAAACTATGAAAACAAACAAAACTTGTATATGGAACATTTTATCCATTGAAACTATGATCTCATAATGAGGAATAGTTAGACAATTTTATTCTTCAACTGACATGGGATCTGTTTATTTATATGGATTTCAGAAGGATGTCTAAAATCATATGCTGAAACTTCATTTTCTAAAAAAAAATCTGCACAGAAGAAATTACTACCTCTTAGGGAAAGTTAAGTTAGAACTTTTTACTAAAGTTGCTAAATATACAGGTCAGTTCCACCATGAAAGTCAGGGAAGACCTCAGAGGTATACAGATATGTACCTGATATAAACTGTGATGCTCCTGGGCTGAAATGCTAATACTCTTTTCCTTTTCCTTTCTGTAAAGCCAGTTGTATGTTTCCTGTAAAGATGACTGATCTCCATAGCTTACCAAATTTAAACAAACACCTAGATAAGCAGCAGAACCTAAGATGCACCTCATACTTCTCACCAGGAAATGAGATAAAGACACAAGTTTGGATGCTGTTTCATTAAAAATACCTGTAATGGGAAGTAGAAGTTATTGTACTTCTGGTCCTAAAAAGAGATGGGTGCCCAAGTACAAAGAAAGAAAATCCACTGTATTCAATATATTGAGAATAACAGAAAGAAGGTTAAATTCTTTCCATTTACAGAAATAGATGTCAGAGAGAAGAATTCTAATTTTTTTCCTGATAGCCTCCCTGTGCACAATAACTGATACATGAGAAATCACTGTTCTAATAGGGCAGGCTTGACCTCAAACTGACCTTGCCTGATATTGAAAAGCTAAGCAGGGTTGTACTTGGTTAGTGTCTGGATGAGAAATCACAAACAAGTACCAGGGCTATAAGCTTGACTGTGAAGTTAACAAAACATCCCAGAAGGCAGCAATGGTAAACCACTTAACAATTATTGCAGTATTGCTATATAGATATGGACATGAAATTACTAGAAATTGCATTCACCTCAAAGGAAACTACCGTCTAGACTCTATTGGACTGCTTCACAGATGTTTCATTAAACACAAAACCAAGTGGAGGCCATATAAATTAGCCCTAGATCTACTGATAATGCCATCAAATTAATTTATACAAAATCTATACCGCAGTAGGTATTCCATAATGTGGTATTGCAGGAATCCCAGAAAATGTAAGTTCTTGAACAACGGTTATCATAGTCTATTTTTGCATATTTGCAAAGAAAGCTTAGGATTGAGGAATACTAGATATTGATGTGCAACGTAAATATTTTTTAGCAGCAGTTAAATGAACAGTCAACTAAAAATAAATGCTTACCATAATAGCTCCATTATCTTGGCCTACAAATATTCGTCTGCTGTCATGATGATAAGCCATAGTTGAACAAGGAGCTGCCCAAAGAAAAATTGATTTGCAAAGTCAGTATTATACTGAATTGAATTTCTGTCTTATCAAAGCAGTAGCAAGGAAATGATTTTACATAGCCAAATGTGAAATCACAAAAATTCTGCTCCTAAATTCATATTAGAGACTGATATCAGTATAACAACATCTAGGTGTACTTACATGACATTGTATGGTAGATGCTGGGCCAATACTGTCCACTGTCTCTTTTCAGCCATACTCTAATCGTCCTGTAAATATAAATGTAAGGGGAAAAAACAATTAGGAAAATTATTATCCCAGCCAGCTATTCGGTTTTCATCAACTGGACAAGATGCATATTTTGGATGCTGATACTAAATAGGGTTGTTTAATCCAAAATCAGTATCCAACATCCACCGTTCAAAAATCAGCACTTGGTGTCACAAACAACTGAGAACTGTAAATAGAAGGTAGAACAAAATCAGGTATGATCTCCATTGTAATTGGAGTACCCTGCAATATATCATTCAGTTCAAAAGGTTTGCAATAGGAAAAACAATTCTGATACCAAATTGTTTTGACAAGTAATTTTTGAGTTTGTATGGCATGTACTTCTGATAGTAAGAGAGAACATTGCAAACACTAAATCCCACTTTGTTACTACTGCATTTTATTTATTTAAATTTATATAGCCACCATCTCACATAAGCAACTCTGGACAGTGAGCCCAATTAAAAGCCATCAGTATAATACAAAATAACAATAACAATACATGACATATAAATCAATTTGTTTTTGGAATCAACTCCTGCTCATACACCAGGAAATTGGCAGGTACCTGTTGCCCCACTGTACCTCCCATATGCCCATCAAATCTATTTATGGGGTTATCTCAAACTTTGGGCAGATATGGGGAGCACACATGGTTGTAGGAAATTTGAGCTGCAAGTTCTGTCTGTTTCTGTAGCAGAAGGTCACAGATAGATACAATTCCTATGAAAATTCATTTTCATAGCAACAACACGAGGCAGGTGTGGCAAGGGATTCAACAAATTACCAACTATATTACCAACTAATTATTTATATTACCAACAAATTACCAACTATACATTACCAACTATAAACCGAATAATGTCATTTCTGCTGACGGGGATGCTTCATTGGTAGAGGAGCTGAATCATTTTTTTGCCCGCTTTGAAGTGGAGCCACCAGAGGCAGCTAGAATACAGCCATTAGTCCACTGTAGCCCCTATCTCATCGTGGAGGAGCACGAGGTGAGGAGTATTTTGAAGGCTGTGGACTCTAGAAAGGCTGCCGGACCTGATGGCATCTCTGGACGGGTGCTTAAAAACTGTGCCGATCAGTTGGCTGGGGTTTTCACCAAGATCTTTAATCGGTGTCTATCCTAGTCCACTATTCCATCCTGTCTGAAGGCTTCCATCATCGTTCCGCTGCCAAAGAAGTTCCC